AAAAGTATCCCATAAACTGCCTAAGAAGAAAAATAGGCAAGAAATGATTCCAATCAAGAAACTCTATCACTATGCCTCTTATGTGACAGAATGCGTGAGTACAGAGATCGAGCTCACAAAAATCGTATTTGTAGTGTCAATGGAAAAAAGACATGAAAAAGTGAAATGCCGAAGAAAAAAGCTGGAAAAATCACTGCATTTTTAAATTCTCTCAGTGTTGTCAGCTCAATCTATGAAGACAGAAACTTCAACAGGCGACAGTATGCAAACTTGACCCCTAATGATCTTGAGAAAAACGCAATGAACTTTGGATTTGCCCAATTTGCTGAAACCGAAAAATCGAAGAGCCTGAAACGCTTTAAAAGTGGAAGGTGAACTTGACTGTCATCGACTAATTACCCTCCAAAATGCTTCGTAACAGGTCAACCTGATTTTAATCTTCTGAAACTTAATGGGTTGGATGAACTTAAGTTGCTGAAAGGAATTGCCCACAAATTTGCTAAAAAACAGCTGTCAATCAGGTGACGCACCTGAGGATCAACACGAAGTAGGTCGGAAAGTGAAGTGAAATGGAAATACAACGAAAATGTTAATAAGAAAGGAACACAACATTCGAAAAATTGAAAATAAACGGAACATAAACTCAAGACATCTTCTTCGGTTTCCACAAGCAGTCTAAGTAAATATGCAAAAAGGAGAGCAAAATAGTAACTGAAATGCATTCGAAATCAGTTTACCGTCCTTCTCTGCTATCCACATCAGAAGAGCAGTCAGGTCAGAAAAGAATATGTGCTACCTGCAATGGTCCACACAAAGTTATTATTATATCAAATGGCAGGCGTCTTGATGGTTATCATTAGCCCTTTAGTTGACTTCAGTCTTCACAGAGAGGAAGGTACATCAAACTAAAAACAGTCGAGAGGGGAGGGGGAACAGTAGAGTGTTTCAAAGATGTAAAAGAGACAGACACAAAGGTAGAAAAAAGGTGAGGTGAGTACTATTGAAGTAGTCGAATATGACATATAGTGAGGTGATGGTAGTTTGAAGTGAGAAGTCAACTGCCGGTTAATAGACTTTTTTCCGTATGAGTATACGTTGCTCAGGGTGCACCACGTGAAGGTAAGTCTATCGCACATCCCGTCCACACAAGGTTTGATTGTACAGAAATAGAAATACAGTGTTCATTACTGTGCTGATTTTCACACATGCTTGAATGGGACTCNAAAAAGTCTATTAAATGGCAGTTGATTTCTCACTTCAAACTACCATCACCCCACTGCATGTCATATTCGACTCCTTACACAATAATCACCTTACTTTTTCCCTGCTTTTGTGTCTGTCTTTCTGTCTATCTCCTTTACATCTATGAATCATTATTCTGCCACTCTCTCGACTTTTGTCACTTTGATGTTCCTCCTCCTCCTCTCTGTGAAGCCCAAAGTCAGCTAAAGAGCTAATGATAACTATCAAAACGCCTACCATTTGATATATATATAGATAAATAAATATTCGGAGATCATAATTATATCGCTTTTATTACCATTCTGGAATTACGATCTGGTGACCAAGCAAATAATAGTTTTCGAAGCTATTGGTGGAGATTTCTTACGTTTTTGGTCGTGAGATCTAGGCACGAATATTCGCAAATCTTCGTAAATATTTCGAGGAAGGGGTTATACCAGATAGCAGGATAAAACTCAATCAGTCGGAGTAGACAATGAAAAGAAGTCTATTTTTTACTGATGCTGATGGGGAGGGGGGGGGGAGGGAGCATTCACAGAATGATGTGCTGAGGTCAACCTTTAGAAGTATAAATATCTACCACTGTGTCAAAACTATTAAAATATTTGCTTAAAGAATAATGACAAAGGGTTTTCACTTAAAGACAGATAAATTGATTTTGCCTTCCAGGCGCTTAAAATATTGGGCCAATATGTCGAAGATCAAAAACTTCTACCTGAGTGCGAGAGATTCTGTTCCTTTCTACGTCCCTTTAAATTTTTATGGAGGCATTTGTAATCAAAACTAGATTTGGTTTCTTCTTCTGCCACCCGACAATAGTATTGCATTGTACCAACACAAATTCTCCCTTCGTGATAAATAAATGAATAGAGGGCTTTTCATAATCTCGGATTTGAGTTCTTGACATTTTATCCGGCATGGCTTTTGGTGGCTCTAGGAACTACTTTTTTTATACCTCCCCAGGGCGAAGATATTTTGTCTCGAAATAAACTAACTAAGTTGATTCAACTCATCTTTTGCATTTCATTGACACCAAGCAGACGCTTTGTTCTTGACTTTTTCACTTACCAATGACTATCGACTTTATGAGAGCCCGATTTTGACCTGATGCCTGCAAGACGATCTCTTGCCTTGAAATATAATTTTGTGCTAATATATTTATCTATTTATATCAAATGGCAGGCTTTATGATAGTTAACATTAGCCCTTTAGTTGACTTCAGGCTTCACAGACGGAGAGGAAAGTCAAAGTGAAAAAAAGTCGAGAAGGAGAGGGAGGAACAGAAGAGTGTTTCAAAGATGTAAAAGAGACAGACACAAAGGTGGATGAAAGGTGAGGTGAGTATTGTGGAAGTAGTCGAATATGACATACAGTGGGGTAATGGGAGTTTGAAGTCAGAAGTCACCTACCGGTTCACAGACTTTTTTGTCATATGAGTATACGTTGCCCAGGGTGCACCACGTGGAGGTAAGTCTATCGCACACCCCATGCTAAAATATAGATATCTAATTTTTAGGAGCTCGTTTACAGAAGTGGCGTTTGCCTATTCAATAACGCATGCCATATCGGATTTCAGAATTCTCGTTTCTCTTTNTTGAAAATAAACGGAACATAAACTCAAGACATCTTCTTCGGTTTCCACAAGCAGTCTAAGTAAATATGCAAAAAGGAGAGCAAAATAGTAACTGAAATGCATTCGAAATCAGTTTACCGTCCTTCTCTGCTATCCACATCAGAAGAGCAGTCAGGTCAGAAAAGAATATGTGCTACCTGCAATGGTCCACACAAAGTTATTATTATATCAAATGGCAGGCGTCTTGATGGTTATCATTAGCCCTTTAGTTGACTTCAGTCTTCACAGAGAGGAAGGTACATCAAACTAAAAACAGTCGAGAGGGGAGGGGGAACAGTAGAGTGTTTCAAAGATGTAAAAGAGACAGACACAAAGGTAGAAAAAAGGTGAGGTGAGTACTATTGAAGTAGTCGAATATGACATATAGTGAGGTGATGGTAGTTTGAAGTGAGAAGTCAACTGCCGGTTAATAGACTTTTTTCCGTATGAGTATACGTTGCTCAGGGTGCACCACGTGAAGGTAAGTCTATCGCACATCCCGTCCACACAAGGTTTGATTGTACAGAAATAGAAATACAGTGTTCATTACTGTGCTGATTTTCACACATGCTTGAATGGGACTCGTGAAGATGTTGCTAAAGATATTAGATAATAATGGAAGCTGTTTTGAAAAGTTGGATCTATCAAGGTCCACTCAGAATGTCGTGAATAACTGACTATCATCTTATATATCAAAGGGGACTTGCTAAATCAATTCCATCGTCAGAAAATATTATCTATTGTCGATTCCTGCTCATAATTAAAAAGAGAGTTGCTATACCGACTGCACTCAAGCAAAGAGTTGTTCAAAAATCTTAGTCTGGTGACGTAGGAATAAGGCGAAGGCAAACATTAGCCAGAGGAAACAGTTACTGTGTGGGAATGAACGAAGATATGGAACTGCTTGCCAAGGCTGACTCAAGTGTTAGAAAGTCCTCCACTTGGCCACTATTGCAAACATCACTGAGTAGAGTGCGTTTTGATTCTACTGATCCTACCAATTGTACTGCATACCCAGAAGAGGTGGCTCACACTTCGAGTGGAAGAAGGAGGTGTTACTAATGCGGACAAAAAATAATAACTCCACAACCAACACCTTCATGACGGATGGCTTACTAAGAAGCCAGTCGCAAGTTCCTACTGACCTCGAAAACACATCCACGCCGGAAGACAAAATGCATGCTGAATTACTAATGATAAGAACAAATCAAACCATTAAACATGCGAAGATATCAAAGACTGTCATGGAGATGTGTTCCCCAACGGTGATCTCCTGTTTGCTCGTGATGGGTCACTAATGAACGTCTGAATGGGAAAAAGTCGCCTATAAAATTCAGGTAAATGATGCTATGCGGATCAGGCCACTGAACCAATTGCGGGCACGCATTGCGTCTACTAAATCAACGCAAGCCTCAACTCTACTTTATCCTCCAACTTCCGAGAAAGAACTCCAGAACAGCTGATACGATGTTCAAAAAGGCATCGGCGGCGTAAGTTGGGAATAAGTCAGTTGAAATTTCCCTGTCAAAATTAAGGCGACATTTTGTGCCTCCTTTCTTTTTACATTGAAAGTAACATCCACCTATTAAATCATTCATCTGAAAAGCGAATTGCCTTTTAAAGTGCCAAAATTTGTCTGAGGTAATTGGCTATCGTTAAATAAGGCTTTGGCGTCTCTAAGCTGATCTTATGCTGCCCCTCAACCACTTCTTTTGTGGATTTTTAGAATAATTAGTCTGGAATTACACTAATGCGGGGAATATGAGTTTGCTAACAGTAAAAGTCCAGGAAATTGATGTGTTTTAATTAAATTAAATTAACAATTTTATCCAATAAAAATTGAATTGCGAGTTTATTGCTAACAATATATAAAAGCTGCGTATTTTTTTAGATCCACCGAAAAAATAAGCATCAAATTAACCATTTCTTCTTGAAATAAAGTCGACTTTTAAGTCATTTAGGTGTTTTCAATTGTGATCGGGACTTTTAAGTTAATTCGAGAGATGAATGAGATTAAAACAACAGCTTTGAAGGTCTCTTGTCATGAAGAATCAGCGCCGATATATTCAATTACAATATCAAAATCAATATATATTTTTCCTATCTTATAAATACAAACTATAGGTCATAACATTTTTTGGATAAATCAGAACCATTTAGAATTGACTGCAGCATATTTTGCTTCAACCACGGACCAATAACATTGCAGATGCCAAATCGCATCCAGCATCCAGCATTCGACAGGAGACCCACCAGTTCCACGCTTCACGCTCCGACAACTAGCGAGCTACAACAAGTCTTAACAACCATGAGAGTGCAAAAATAGCGAAATCGTCACAGCCTCCTAATCTACTCCCCTACTATTCCGACCAAAATTGATTACACAGTGAGACCACAAGACGTATATATCACAAAGAGGTAATTATGGGGGATTTTAGGGGACAGTTGAAAAGAGAGAGGGGCGGGGGGGCTGAAGAACATTTATTTATATCAAATGGCAGGCGTCTTGATGGTTATCATTAGCCCTTTAGTTGACTTCAGTCTTCACATAGGGGAAGGAACATCAAAGTGGGAAATAAAGTCGAGAGGGGGGGGGGGAACAGAAGAGTGCTTCAAAGACGAAGGTAGAAAAAGGTGAGGTGAGTACTGTCGAAGTAGTCGAATATGACATACAATGGGGTGAGGGTAGTTTGAAGTGAGAAGTCAACTGCCAGTTAATAGACTTTTTTGCCGTATGAATATACGTTGCCCATGGTGCACCACGTGGAGGTAAGTCTATCGCACACCCCGGGCTGAAGAACATAAGCTAGTCCAAACTTCTTCCCAAATCTCCAAAAATTTTACTCCCTCCTCGACATTGATAACAAATCAAATGAATCGAAGCATGGCTAGATAGGCCTTTTTTGTGAGGATTTTTTGCTAACTCTGAAAGTAGATCACTGTAATCAATATTAAGATCAAGGGGTGTGCGATAGACTTACCTCCACGTGGTGCACCCTGGGCAACGTATACTCATTACGGCAAAAAAATGCTATTAACCGTCATTTGAATTCTGACTTCAAACTACCACGACCCCCCCTGGTCGTCATATTCGACCCCTTTCACAGTACTCACCTTACCTTTTTCTCTACCTTTGTGTCTGTCTGCCTCTTTTACATCTCTGAATCGCTCTTCTGTTCCCCACCCCTCAACTTTCTGCTACTTTGATGAACCTTCCCTCTGTGAAGCCCGAAGTCAGCTAGATGGCTAATGATATCTATCAAAACGCCTGCCATTTGAAATAAATATATTAAGATTAAGGATGAAGTGAGCGGAAGTGAAAGTAAGATAATCGTGTAGGCGATTTGGGAGCCAACTTACTGCATCTCCTTTATTGCGTTCCTCTGGTGTTGACTCTTGCCATAATTGCTCTAGAAGATATGATGGTGATGTTCCTTCGTTGTTTCGAACGTAAAGAAGCTCCAAATTTGATTCAAGTAAACAAACCAAAAGTTTGCAGCCTAATTCAAAGAGAAAATTCTTTATTTCTTTCAAATGCAGTAAAATTTGACGCTTGCTTATTCACATAGTAGGGGAATTAAATTCGTGGAAATTTGAATCTATGATAACTGGTTGCGAGCGCGCTTACAATGCACTTTAAATGGGAGTGGAGCTACACACACACACCCCTACGAGAGAAAAGTGCATAGTGAACCGTCGCGCAAGCCCACCTCTTAACGCTTTGTACTTTTAACTGCGCTACACGCACACATACACACTCTAACCATATGACTGAGAGTTATGATTATGGGGCGTTATTTGTGTCATTGAACATACAGCAATACTCCATCGGAAATGGGAACTCACATTTCTCAAACCGCTTGCGTTTTAAACCATATTTTATGCAGGAGTGAACTGGAGTATTCCCTTTTCGGTCACAAACCTCAATAGGCAAGCCAAGATCTACCAAATACCTGAAAAAGAAAACCACTTTTAATAATAATAATACTAATACAATATCTCTATTTCAACAAAATATAACATAAAATTTACTTATATCAAATGGCAGGTGTCTTGATGGTTATCATTAGCCCTTTAGTTGACTTCAGGCTTCACAGAGAGGAGGAGGAACATCAAAGTGACAAAAAGTCGAGAGGGGGGGGGGCAGAAGTGTTTCAAAGACAAGGGTAGAAAAGGTAGAAAAAATGCGAGGTGAGTACTGTGGAAGTAGTCGAATATGACATACAATGGGGGTGATGGTAGTTTGAAGTCAGAAGTCAACTGCCGCTTAATAGACTTTTTTGCCATATGAGTATACGTTGCCCGGGGTGCACCAGGCACATAACATAAAATCTATTTCAAAACGCACATATAGAACAGGAAAAAATATTAAAAAAATAATTATCCAATTGAGAAACCCCATGTCCTACTAATCCGGCTCGGTTCACTGGAGTGCATCGACAATAAGTATATTGATCACTGCGGCGTTAGTAATTTGCCTTTACGCATAAACATGAGAAAATTCCACCTAATGCAAATCTTTATCTGCCAGTTTAGGGAAAGTAAATTGCACCCCAACCGAAATCGCTATTTCCGGCCACAATCTTTCCTTCTTTTTGCCCCACAATTTACCGAATCACGACAGCCATGCTATTAGCGAAGATTGTTTTCGAACACTTTTGAGTTAATTGGAAGATAAGAGATAACCAAACGCATATACACAAAACATTAGGCAAAAAACACCATTTTACTTTAATAGACCTGAACAGATTGAGGCAAGTATAGCTTTCTATTAAGTTATAATAAGGTTAATTCCGAAGTATTACCTGCACTTTTCATAATCAAATTTTATAAAAAAGTGGATATTTACTTTATTACTGCAAAATTCAAACAATCCCCATAAGAAAGACACATGTTGTGGGTTCCCATTGTTTCCCTGTTTTCGCGAGGTAGTAAATTTTGCAAACTACTATTTTAAGTTCCCCCAAAAAATAATCAAATGATGCACACAAGAGCGATTATGAGAAGATTCAAATTTGGAGTTTTTGGAAATTCTCTCTTCTTTTTTTTTCACTTAATTAACCATTGGCAAGGGGCAAACTTGACCTGCGGTAAATCATTCATGTATGGACCTGAGTTAAAACGGTCAGTTTAGGTTAAATTAGGTAGAAAATTATTTCCCAATTCTGTTGCATCAGAAATAGCCACTTTAGCAAATTAGGAATAGGGTCTTAAATAGACCAAGCATTAACAACAAAAAAAATAGTTTACAAAGTACAACTTATCTAAGAATCAGATGATTATAGCTATTCTTAGAGTCCGTCCTCAGTTATGCACTTCCTCAAATAGTGCTAAAGATAAAAGTAGAATTAATGCCCTCTTGAACAATGCGAAGGGTAATACCAAAGGTCTTGACTTATGAAGGCCTTTCAACAGCGCATTGCTCTGGTAAACTTCCGCCACCAGGCTACATCAAAAGGGACTTTCCCCTTCTATTTATTTCAAATGGCAGGCGTTATGATAGGTATCATTAGCCCTTTAGTTGACTTCGAGCTTCACAGAAAGAAAGAGGAACACCAAAGTGGCAAAAAGTCGAGAGGGGGGACAGAATAATGATTCACAGACGTAAAAGAGACAGACAGACACAAAGGTAGAAAAAAGGTGAGTACTGTTTAATTAGTAGAATATGAAATGCGGTGGGGTCTCGGTAGTTTGAAATCAGAAGTCAACTGCCAGTTAATAGACTTTTTTGCCGTATGAGTATACGTTGCCCAG